TTACTCGGTATGCTTCGTTCGGGTGCAGTATTACTTCTCCCTCTCTCAGGATGATCCCCACTATAAAATTGTTAAGGTATCCTGTGTGATTTGTATTGCTCCTTCTTTCATTTCAGCTACAAGGTCAGAACTGGTAGGAAGAAAGTATTTTAAATGTCACCTCTCTTGAGCGACTTAAAACTTAAATATTTTACAAGACTATATAAGGATTGTGTATAAGGAGTTCCTCTCTCTGGGTGATCTACCATAAATATTGTTCATACTGATAATTTCAGGATGGCTGAACATCGGCAATGTGGTTTGGGGCCGGGAGCAATGGGCGTAAAGCAGTGGGCGATCGACCAGGCGCCGGGCCTCTGGGAGATCGACAAATATACTATCTTATAACGACGCGTGCCAAAAATTTAAAAAATCTGATCCTCTCCCTGAAGTAGCTCTTTCTTCTATCTCCCTCCTCTTCTCTGCTCTGCTCTGTTGTTCTCTTCCCTTCCTATCTTCTCCTATTCTCATTCTATTACAACACAAGTTCTCTCGTTCTCCATTTACTTTCCTTACATCTCTTGTACCATGCATTTCAATTTCGCATATATTTCGTTACCCAATTCATATATACAGCAAATTTCACTATATATTTTTATATTTGAAAAATGCCTTCCATGCGGACTGCGTCCGTGATGTAACAGCATGCCAGCAGGTGCGTCTCATGAACCACCGGAAGTGTTTTGTTATTAATATTTGATTCTTCTATTTATGATTTTTACTTTTATCATGTTTTTAAAAACAACAACACAATTCAGAAGTAACAGTTGGTATAAGCACACTTTCTGCTCACACATAAGACTTATATATACCATATTATTTAAAACTGAAACGACAAAGGGATACCACCAAAAATATGTTTTCAAAAGTATATTATTAAACTGACTTTTATTGGAGCTCATACAATCAAGGAAGCACTTTGTAATAGTTTTTCTTTAACGTGTGGTGAAACTATTTTCAATAGCTGTGTACAAATATGATTTTGTATCTGTAAAAGTAAAAAAATGAAACAAATTAATATTTGATGTTACCATACACCTTTGTCCTTCTATCCATAAAGTACGCTTCCACAAGTTTCCTTATTTTGTTCGGACGGAGAACACGCGTGGTTAATTTTCACAAATTCAATTCGATCAATTTTGATCAATAAATCCCAAATGGAATTCGTAGCCACTGAACGAGATCCGGCGGCCGCCGTCATGCATGTGCGTCGGCAGTCGATCGATAGCATATCAATTTTAAAACCGAATTTTTAAGCGCACTAAACCCAAGAAACGCGAGAAATCGCCACGATGCTCGCCGGATGGCAAGCACTCGTGCACTACACAACACCGCACGACCGACTAAGCAGGAAAATAGCCATAGCCAGTCATTCTTGATTACGGTGATTTGTATCCCGAGACTGTAACTGATAACCGAATTAAACTGTAAAGCAAAACGAAATACGACGAGAGTAGCGGCATGGCGGAGAAGAAAAAAAAACGCGTGCAGCCCCTACCACAGCGCGGAACTTACTGAGGTGGTGAGTGAACGAAAGGAGCGAAAGTAGTAGTGGCAACCGAAGAAAACTGCTGCAAACGCAGCACTAGCGCCATCTAGTTGTGAAGTGTCTAACTAATAGAATTTAAATAGCAAATTACAGTTTTCTGAATTTTTAACAACAGCATATTATTAGATCACCAACAGATGGGCATACCGATACTAAATTAAATTAAATACACATTCAAATAAATTATGTGAGATAGCAAGTATACCAACGTTCTATAAACTAAAGGTTATTTTGGCGTGCAGTAATATCAAAGATTAAATTATCCTTTATTGATTGAATCATATATATCTACTATGAAGTTATATTGCATCTTTAAAATGTAAACGTATTAAATAGAAGTAAATTATTCACTTGTTCTTACTTATTAGAGTGCACAACATCCGTGAATTGTTCTTGCAATCTTCCCATATTGAAAACTTTATTATCATATTATTAATTTGTTGATATTTTGTAGCACTAGTAAGTATAATTCAAAACTGTAGCCGAATTAAATACGAATGACGATGTTGAATGATGACGGTAAAGAGAAACAAACGCGTGCACCCCTCACGACAGCGAAACGGTTACTGAGCTAAAGGTTGCGGTAGAAGGAGTATAAAGGAACGAAAGTGACAGCTGACATTGTCAACCGAACAAAACCGAAAGCATTACATATACCAGCGCCATCTGGTTGAGAAATATCTACCTAGAGAAAGACACAAAACAAACCAAACATTGATTAATTTTTCGTACAAATTCCACCCCTTGTGTTTGTCAGACACAAAATAAGGAAAATCCACATCTTATACCACAGCGTCGCTACGCCAACCACAAACGTTTCGCCGTAAAAACCAATCCAAACAACATGCTGTACCTTGAGGACTATTTAGAAAGTAAGCACATTTCCAAACCCAATTCTAATTACTAAAATTATCATTAATAATACAATAATCTTAATTGCCAGTGATTGAACACCTCCCCCAGGAGTTACGGGATCGCTTTACGCAAATGCGCGAGCTCGATTTGTCTGTACAAAGTAACTATTCCCAACAAAAATACACTATGCATTCAGAGGTTATGTTTACGCGAATATTTTAGATAATGTCGACACGCTGGAGAAGCGCGTGAAGAATCTCTTCAACGACTGCAAACGCGTACCGGAGGTAACCCCGAATCTGGACGCTGAATTCCAAAACATCCGCCAGGAGTACCACAAAACTCTAGAGGACGCCGATGAGAAAGTACATCTAGCAAACACAATGTATGACTTGGTCGATAAATACCTCAGGAGGCTAGACACTGAACTGCACAAGTTCAAATGTGAACTTGAGGCGGACAATAAAGGCATAACTGAAGTCCTGGAAAAACGCAGTTTAGAATTAGACACACCACTATCAAGTGGCGCGCTTAGTTCACAAAAAGAAAACCGATACGAGAGATACAATCGTCCACGCACCGAAAAACGTCGCGATAGCAGCACGAACGTGAATAGTTTCCCCGAGAAACGCCAAGCTGTTAATATCACTCAGGCAGAACCCCGCGGACATAATTCCCTATCGAATTCATCCAGCGTTGTCACGCCAACAAGTAATTCACCATCGCCGCAATTTAATCTTGGCCAAATCGGTGCTGGGCAAGCAATTGCCACGGCTGCATCGCAAGCAATCGCCGCAACACAACAAATGCAGCAGGGAAGACGCACGGCGAGCTTGAAAGCATCCTATGAAGCTGCCCTGACTGGTTTGAACATGCATGAGCTGGCGATTGGGAAAGATCTCGCCGGGGCCGCACACACCGCGTTCCAACAATCAATTGTACAAGACACAAACAAAAAGAAACAGAAAAAGGTGTCGACTAGCATCCAGCAGGTGATAACTGCACCAGCGGGGAGTTCAACACCCGGATCCCCAGCTGTAGATGTACAAACACAGGAAGTAACCGATGGGGAGTGGACGTATGATCCGAATGAACCGAGATATTGTTTGTNGTTACCATACACCTTTGTCCTTCTATCCATAAAGTACGCTTCCACAAGTTTCCTTATTTTGTTCGGACGGAGAACACGCGTGGTTAATTTTCACAAATTAACATTCGATCAATTTTGATCAGTAAATCCCAAATGGAATTCGTAGCCACCGAACGAGATCCGGCGGCCGCCGTCATGCACGTGCGTCGGCAGTCGATCGATAGCATATCAATTTTAAAACCGAATTTTTAAGCGCACTAAACCCAAGAAACGCGAGAAATCGCCACGATGCTCGACGGATGGCAAGCAATCGTGCACTACACAACACCGAACGACCGACTAAGCGGGAAAATAGCCATAGCCATTCTTGATTACGGTGATTTGTATCCCGAGACTGTAACTGATAACCGAATTAAACGGTAAAGCAAAACGAAATACGACGAGAGTAGCGGCATGGCGGAGAAGAAAAAAAACGCGTGCAGCCTTTATCACAGCGCGGAACGTACTGAGAGGTGTTGTTGAGTGAACGAAAGGAGCGAAAGTAGTAGTGGCAACCGAAGAAAACTGCTGCAAAAGCAGCACTAGCGCCATCTGGTTTGTGAAGTGTCTAACTAATAGAATTTAAATAGCAAATTACAGTTTTCTGAATAGATTCGATATTAATTAAATTCGATACTAGATTAAATTAAATACACATTCAAATAAATTATGTGAGAAAGCAAGTATACCAACGTTCTATAAACTAAAGGTTATTTTGGCGTGCAGTAATATTAAAGATTAAATTATCCTTTATTGATTGAATCATATATATTTACAATAAAGTTATATTGCATCATTAAAATGTAAACGTATTAAATAGAAGTAAATTATTCACATGTTCTTACTTATTCAAGTGCACAACATCCGCGAATTGTTTTTGCAATCTTCCCATATTGAAAACTTTATTATCATAAATTAATTTGTCGATATTTTGTAGCACTAGTAAGTATAATTAAAAACTGTAACAGAATTAAATACGAATGACGATGTTGAATGATGACGGTAAAGAGAAACAAACACATGCACCCCTCACGACAGCGAAACGGTTACTGAGCTAAAGGTTGCGGTAGAAGGAGTATAAAGGAACGAAAGTGACAGCTGTCATTGTCAACCGAACAAAACCGAAAGCTTTACATATACCAGCGCCATCTGGTTGAGAAATATCTACCTAGAGAAAGACACAAAACAAACCAAACATTGATTAATTTTTTCGTACAAATTCCACCCCTTGTGTTTGTCTGACACAAAATAAGGAAAATCCACATCTTATACCACAGCGTCGCTACGCAAACCACAATCGTTTCGCCGTAAAACCAATCCAAACAACATGCTGTACCTTGAGGACTATTTAGAAAGTAAGCACATTTCCAAACCCAATTTTAATAACTAAAATTATCATTAATAATACAATAACCTTAATTTCCAGTGATTGAACACCTCCCCAGGAGTTACGGATCGCTTTACGCAAATGCGCGAGCTCGATTTGTCTGTACAAAGTAATTATTCCCAACAAAAATACACTATGCATTCAGAGGTTATGTTTACGCGAATATTTTAGATAATGTCGACACGCTCGAGAAGCGCGTGAAGAATCTCTTCAACGACTGCAAACGCGTACCGGAGATAACCCCGAATCTGACGCTGAATTCCAGAACATCCGCCAGGAGTACCACAAAACCCTAGAGGATGCCGATGAGAAAGTACATCTAGCAAATACAATGTATGACTTGGTAGATAAATACCTCAGGAGGCTAGACACTGAACTACACAAGTTCAAATGTGAGCTTGAGGCGGACAATAAAGGCATAACCGAAGTCCTGGAAAAACGCAGTTTAGAATTAGACACACCACTATCAAGTGGCGCGCTGAGTTCACAAAAAGAAAACCGATACGAGAGATACAATCGTCCACGCACCGAGAAACGTCGCGATAGCAGCACGAACGTGAATAGTTTCCCGGAGAAACGCCAAGCTGTTAATATCACTCAGGCAGAACCCCGCGGACATAATTCCCTATCGAATTCATCCAGCGTTGTCACACCAACAAGTAATTCACCATCACCGCAATTTAATCTTGGCCAAATCGGTGCTGGACAAGCAATTGCCACGGCTGCATCGCAAGCAATCGCCGCAACGCAACAAATGCAGCAGGGAAGACGCACGGCAAGCTTGAAAGCATCCTATGAGGCTGCCCTGACTGGTTTGAACATGCATGAGCTGGCGATTGGGAAAGATCTCGCCGGGCTGCACACACCGCGTTCCAACAATCAATTGTACAAGACACAAACAAAAGAAACAGAAAAAGGTGTCGACTAGCATCCAGCAGGTGATAACTGCACCAGCGGGGAGTTCAACACCCGGATCCCCAGCTGTAGATGTACAAACACAGGAAGTAACCGATGGGGAGTGGACGTATGATCCGAATGAACCGAGATATTGTTTGTGCAATCAAGTCTCTTATGGAGACATGGTCGCTTGTGACAATGAGGAATGTCCTTCCGAATGGTTTCATTATCCTTGTGTTGGTATCACTGCACCACCGAAAGGAAAATGGTATTGCCCGCAATGTGTTACAATGAAACGCCGTTCTCGAAAGAATTAAATTTGTTAATATGAGGTGGGCGGTGTAGTATTATTAATTAAATAAGATTAATTACGTAAAGCCCAAAATGACAAGAAAATAAATAAATAAGCAACAATACAAGACATTTTCTACAAAAAATTACTAGAAAACTACTTTTAATCACAAATATTTTCATGTTTTTAATTGCCAAACAAAACTAATTCATGTACTTTATACTTTTTTAACTTCTCATTGACAAAATTCACTTTACGTACCCCTAAATTAACGTCCACATTAAATTTGTCTTTACCAAAAACTACTCCACCTTTTACATCAAAAATATCATCTGGTAGATGATATTCTAACCCACAACACTTCACATCTTCTAATAATTCATCCTGACTTTCATATAACAATAATTCCTGAAGTTTTTCAAGTGGAAATCGTAGATTTTTGCTTGAATAACCCCAGGACATGACTTGCAGACATGTTTTCCGTATAGCGGGCATGCGTAACATTACAATGGCCGCCATTAAATGCGGCAGGGTCTTCACGAGGCGACAAACCGCGACGAAATTATTATTTCTGTACAATAGACTTACTTTTATTGCGACTTGCAGCTCCGCGGTGTTCTTCCATCGTTCGTTTAACCTCAACGCGCGATTGAGTGCTTCGCCACTGCCAAGATTGAATAAAACATATATGGCTTCAATTTGTGGACGGGAATCAGCGTATAGAGTAGAGTAATCAATTCGATGTGGAAAACGCGTTTCAAATTCTTCGCAATCATCGTATAATGATAAAAGACGTTTTAAACACTCTTGAAAGTGTTTATTATTCAAATGTGGATCATATTTCTGAAGAGGTTCATCACACATTCTATAAAGAAACAAAATATAAATAATTATGTTGTTTTAAGGTAAAAATATTAATAATTTTGTTACCTGTATGATGCATAAGTATAAAATCTAACTATAGGTTGCAATATACAAATTGCTTCATGTTTGGGAAGATCTTGAATGATCATATCTTGTCTAACAGCTCTTAATCTATCACAAATGTAATCATATCGGATGTGGAATGCAAATTCATCCATATTTATTGCCCTAAACAATATTAAAACATAAATTTTAATAGAATCTGATGAATTCTTTACTTACTCAAACAATAGGTATGCAATTGTGTCATTTAATGTGTCAAAAGGCCTCAACACTTCTGGTTTTTGCATGTGTTGACCAGCAGATGATCTACAGAACTCTTTTACCATCTTTGTCCTGTCTGCTTTTGTCTTTGAATGCGTAAGAATTTCCATTGGATGTAACAGTCTTTGAGACTCTCTCCTAAGAGGTTATAAACATAAACATTACACTATTATACATAATACAAAGCGAATTATGTGATACATACATTGTTATTTCACTCTCGGGGCACATCTGCGTGCATTTTCCTATTATCACAGGTTTATTTTGCATTTTTCTTTGATTTTTTTCGTCACAACTTGTGACTACAATTGCTACAAATCTAGTATGATACTTGTATGATATGCAACCCAACATACATCAAAATGTGTGCAATTAATATGCGCACGCGCACTTTGATAATATACCTGCAATTTTGAACAGTTTTGACTTTAATATTTGCGTTTTCTGTTTTAATTCAAAGGATGTAATACAGAATTACATAAGAAGCGTTTAATGTACATAGAAAATAATAAATGGCAATAAATAAGCTGTGTTTGCGCCTTAAATATGTCCGTAAATAGTTTTTTAGCACTGAACAACTTTCATATTTCATAAGTAAAAATATAAATTAATAACTGTATTGTTCATTCACTTGAAATCATGCCATTCGCCAAATCTTCTTCATCATTTATCTCATTCACTCCTCAATCTTTTATTATTTATATACCCTACCTATGTAAAATGCATAATCATTGAATTCGTTCTGTTTTCATCTTCAAAACGCTTTACATTTGAATGTTTTGCTAACAAATTAGCAGTGTATCAGTTTATCAGTGAAAATATCCCCGCCAACAACACCGGTACATGGTACATCTAATAAATAATTGATCTTTGGTCTCTTGTTAAAATTATTACCATCATAATTCACTCGCGCTCTTCGTTTGCATTTGCGTCCACTGGCTCGTCATCTTCAATTGCATTTATTGCACAATCCGTGCGCGATTAGCTGCATTGGCATCAGTCCAACTTCCTAGATTACAAACAGATAGATTTCCAATAGATTAATCATAATCACATCATTAAATTGGGGAATAAATTGCGCAAGGTCTAAAAGCAACACCAATTTAGTACAAAAAAGCATCAAAGTATTGTAAATATTCAAAGTTTCCAAAGCAAAACGTTGAAGAAACAGGCATGCAAACACAAAATACGAAATAAAAACCAAAACAAAGTTTGTTACAGTTGGATTAATCAATCAATGAAAAAACACCACCGAGAAGAGCCGTTATATCTGTACCGATATCTGAAAGTATTAGCAAATATTCAATTAGTAATTATTTGATGAATGTAACATTTGTAATTAATTGATTGTGTGTGAGGTGAGAGATGTTGATTTCGGTTGGGTGTAAGCGTCAAATCAACTCGGTAACATCGAAAAAAAATACTAAACAAAATCATAACAGAACGCACCTTCTAGGTATAGGGGACTCGTACTTCGGTACGTATTTTATGTGCACAATTAACCTACAACAAAACACGACAATGTACATTTGCTTGTTCATCAATATATTTCATCAAATTGCGTCTGTTTACGGCCGTTGTTGTAGTCGTCACACATCTCCGACAATAATGTAGTTAAACGTGTTAGTTTTTAAATCTTTCTCCACTTGAATAGCACATAATTAAGGTTATGTTATCATTCAATCTCGAAACGGAACTGAGCAAAAGTTTCCCAACAACTATTTCGTCTCATTCACGCAAGAACATCATATTTCAGGCACATGTTTAGCTTTTCATCATCGCATCTTCACTTGAATTCATTTTTTTCCTTCTATCTATGTATTAGTAAGTCGTATCGTAATTTATATATTACTATATGTAGTCAATTTATCATTGTTTAAGTTATTTAAGTTATTATTATATGCATATAATACCTAAAGTTGTTGGTAGTTTGTTTTTTTTAAATCTTCGTTAAGTGTTACGATTTTTCACATTTCACTCGCAAATGAACAACTTTTTCACAGCCCCCTACCTAAAACACAATCGCTCATTGATGTTGTTAAATGTTTACAAAGCTTAAAAAACGCATCTCTCAATCAAATAATCAATCATTCAAATATTCGCATGTACTGCTTAAATATTACAAGATTTCGCCTTCTTCTTATCGTCTTACAGAAGGTAAACCAACGCTACAAAGAGGTGTCCTCAACTCTCAACTCAATATGTACACATACACAAAATGGCTACCACCACCCCCACCACCACAACCTACCTCCTACTAAGCTACCACCAGAAAATACTAAAAAATTAAAAACACAACCAAAACATAATCCAAGTTGTAGATGACTAGTAGATGAATAAAAACAACTAAATAAATATAGGAGATGACTAAGTTGAAGTGAAGGGGATGAGAGAAACAAAATACTTCTGGCCCAATTCTGTCAAAGCACACATGCTGAGAACACCCCCAAGACCCGTCAGCCAATGTCTGCATCCCCGTTGAGCATATGCCGGCTGTAGATCGCCTGCCTGTAACTGTACCTATTTGTTTGCGGCGAGCGCGAATTGCGCGCCGCTGCCGGCTCCGCCTGCACCGGAGGCATCGCTGTGGCGGGCGCATCACCCGGATGACAACCGGTGGCTTCATCCAGCTCGCCGATGCAACTCTCCACCAGACTCACGCCCAGTTCCGGATAGGCGGACATCTTGGATCGCAGGATGTAAGCATAGGCTCTATATCTTTTAACCTACGAAATATAATAATGAAAAACATGAAAAATTTAGTGTTTTATTGTAAAATAAAGTAAATACCTCAAAATTTAGGTAAACTTCGCGTTCTTTGTAGTTCTGCATGACTAGTGACTTGGCATTGCGCTCCGGCGGCGATCTGCGATGCTCCTCGAGCTCGCTCTCCAGTCTCATAACTCTCTCCTCGTGATCTCTCAATTGTTCTCGCTAAATATTACAAAAAAAACTTAATTTTTAATTCCGTAGATGATAAAAATGTATTTTTCTTACGAAATTTAATTTGGTGTGACTGCAAGGTAACAGAGGCCGTTGAAACTTTTTCTGCGACCCAACAGCCGCCTCCAGAGGCGGCGCGGAAAAACTAGCGCATACAAAGTTGATGGTATCAATCCATGATTGCAGTTCTTTCGAATCACTAAAAAAACAATCATTAAAACTCAAAAAAACATAAAAAATCATTAAATTTACCTAGTTTGGAATAAATATTCAGCCTGATCAGCCGTCTGCAGCCTAAAAACATACTGCTTCTTCGTGTAGTCCGTAGCTTTGGTCGCCAGGGCATGGTAGATGCGAATCGCATTATGCAGATTGTCACCCATCTGATTCTTGCGGAAGCCGTTCTCGTCCTTGTGCAGATAGAGGACCATATCACGCAGTGTGCAGTAGAACATCTTCCAGCTGCGCTTGTGAAACGGCGCTAGAAAAATGCAGCAAAGGCCTTCGAAACAGCTATTTTTGTTTGCCAACATGCTGTGCGATGGCGGTAATCGCAACTTGCTAAGAATACGCCAAACACTCCTAATGCAAATCACCGCTAGACAAATGTTCTAAAATTCTAGTATACAAGTCATGATGAAATCAACAACTGAGAGATAACGAATGAATGAAAAGTGTTTGGTTTGTACAGATGTGAGAGAGTGTCTAGGTGGTGTATTCAATTGTATAGCAAGCAAAGCAAGCAGAAACTACTCCTAGAGTTTTACTAATATTAATATAATAATAATAATAAGGTGATTGTGTGGTAATAAATAACTTTCGTTTGCAAATCGAATTTGTAGAATCAAAAATATGTTCCAGAAGACAAATGGTAAGGTGCAAAATAATTGATATGTACACGTTTCTTGTATCGTTTCAATGTTTTTTCATGTTGTTGGTTTGTGTTGGTTTTGTTTTGTTTCTTGTGACAAATTTGAAACTTGTAAATTGCTTGCTTACCAAACACTTCTGTCGCATCATCGAGAAAATAAAGAAAAAACGTAAGAAAAACCAACTCTCGAGAAATAAAACTCAAAAATAATCAGAACACACGTTGGTAGTACGTTGAACGTGCGAGAGAAAATGCGGTAAACCCTACGAATTTCTATCAGTCAATCTGATTCTACGCGCGGCGAGACTCACTTCGTTTGGCGTTCGACTCGTAGCAGCATTTGCGCATCACGTAGCCCTTCTTGTATTCCGTCGCGTTGGCAAGGCTTGGCACGTCCAGGAACGGATTCCCGCCGAGATGCTGCTCCATTATCGGCTTCTGCATGTTTTGCCATCGTGATCTGCGCCGTGTTTGTCACTGAAAACCCGCAAAATGGTAAAAACATATAAACGCAATTAAAACCTGTATTCTTACCTGCCCATTCGAGGTGGATTTATTTCAGCGATGGCGTGGTAGAGCTGGCAAGGTACTTCCCGCGGAAAGTTTTCGTTCATTGTTAGAGGCCGGCGAGATTACCAAATGAACTCGTGGCGTCATCTTGCGATTGATGTTCTGCGTGGTAATAGAAATCAGTGTTGAGCAGCATTATTTAACGTTAACGTATACTGGCGTCGACGCAAAAAAGTAAATAAAATAAAATGGCGGTCGCATTTTGTGGTACAAACCTTCTGTAATTAGGGCGGGATTTTGGTCTAAGAATCTCTTTGAAAAGTATGCACAGAAGCACGCGTTAGCGCTCCTGCGTCTCACCGTGGTGACGAGAATTGTTTAAGGAACTTGCGCAGTGCAATGTCTAACGTATCCTGAATTGAAAGTTAAGAAGGTTCCTCAGGTATTCATCAGCGCTACCGCACATTAAATTCATTGCTAAAATCAACCAAAACTTAAATTTTTGCATAAAATAATTGTGCTGCCATACTTTTTGCTTAAATGCTTGCTTGAAACATCTGGCTTTTAAACCCGTCCAGTTGTTGCAGACGATTTGCAGACGTATCGCTGACGGCGCATGTCAACCATATTCGGTGGTAGTGAAAACCATGCGGGCTATCAACATCAGCTGTATCTCGGGAAACCGGCGGCATTGAAGACGCGGGACGTGGCGCCTATGCCGCCGCCGCCACCCTCCAGCAACGCGCGTTCTTCCGGCCTCGTCCTCAAACTCATTATCGCCGGAAATCTTTACAAACACCGCAGTTAATATCACACACAAAATAGGGTTGACAATACAATATAATACAATATAATACAGAATCACATGTTATACCAATTGATGATAACAATCCATAAATTGATAAGATATCAATCATCAATAAATCTTAAAATGACTCACCTGCTCGCGGCGATTGTTTGCACACTGCCCCTTCCCGCGATCCTTCACCGTATCCTTATCGGGTCCCTTCACCTGTATCACAATGCGATGCTCGGAATCACCTTGATTACAACCACCCGCAGCAGTTTTATGCGGCTGCCGTGGCTCGGACACCAGCAACGTACTATCACTATCACTATGATCACTGATCTCCATCACGCAGTCGCGGATGCCCATGCTGTCATCGTCATTGTAGTCCGGACTGGAGATATTCGAGATGGCCTCGGAGACGCTAAAGTCACCATTGGTAGGCGCGCCATACGCGGCGGCATCGGAATGCGGACCATTGGGCAACGCATACGGCGGCGCACGCCGACTCCCACTATGGCTGGACATCACCGAGGAAGACACAGAAGTAGGCGACTGTGGGGAATCACTGCGCATCGGCGACGACGACGTCGGTGATGAGCTGCTACCATTCGAGATGGTATGACACAGTTGTCCCTTGCCAGCGTTACCAACCGGCACGATTGGTAGCTGTTGGCCATCAACGGGCGCATTGTAAGTCCATACGATGCGATCGCGATCCGCTTGGCTAGCGGGCGCCGTACCAATCCCGCTGCCAACAGAACCATAGCTAGCATCCGGTCGGGTATCTAATAAAGTATTCAACGAGCTGGTGATATCGTCATCCACGTCGATATCCACCGTGCTGATACTTTTCGCGTCCTGTAGTTGATCCTCAGAGCGTGAGGTGCGCACAAAGTTATTGAATTGTTTGCCGGCAGCGGTGCCGCCGCCTTCCGACGGCGACGGCGTCGAGAGCGCATCGTGCGTGCGCTTGTTGGCACTGACAGGGGAAGTGTTCGCCGAGTTCGTCGCGTTGTGATGATGATGGTGATTCGACCGGTGGCCCATCTCCATTTCGTTGGGGGAGTTGGGCACCGAATTGTGCTGCGGCTGGTTCGTCACGTTTTGTCGTTGGTGATTCGAGTGGCTATTTTGATACTTCATGCGATTATCCTATAGAAAAATATATTAAGTAGCGCCATCTATGAATGTATAGTTGTGAATTTTGATTGCATACCTTAAATAATTGTTTAGGTACTATAATTGGCTGTGGTTGCGTCTTGGAGATGTTCAGAATATGCTCGCCAGTCATCATGTACGCTTCGTACTTGGCCTTGGGTGGCTTCTCGCCGCCGAGGGGCTCCCATTGCAGTTCGTCCTGGTGGTGTTGTTGTAGGTGGCGTGCGTTGCGATGGTGCACCTTGTTACCGTTCGTCGTCGTCGTCTTGTTGTTGTGCTGCAACTGATCGCCGGATTTATCGGTGCCATTTGTTTTGTGGATGAGCGGCTCGGGCCGATTCTGCGCCTGCTGCGGCTGCAACGGGTGCTGCTGGTATGCCGGTAAACCGGAAACGACCGGCGGCGTCGGTGTTGTTCTATGCACGCCGGCTAGGTCCCCGTCGGTCGAGTGCAATTGCTGTTGGCGGACTGTTGCCTTTATTTTTGGATCTAAAAATGGGGAAAAATTGATAAAAATCGTATTTGTTTTAACTAAAATATTGATTTTTTAGCTTAAATTCGGGTTTTGAAGCAAAAAACTACATAAAATATTCACGATTTTTAATTATCAGTTAATTATTGAATAAAATTATCAAAATTTCAAGTTTTCTGGAGAAAAATGACGATTTTTGAGTTTAAATTCGTGTTTTAAGGCAAAAAAAACTACATCAAAACTTCAGGATTTTTAATTATTGGTCAATTATTGAAGAAAATCATCAAAATTTCAAGTTTTCTGGAGAAAAATGACGATTTTTGAGCTTAAATTCGCGTTTTAAGGCAAAAAAAGTACATAAAAACTTCACAATTTTTAATTATTCGTCAATTATTGAAGAAAATCATCAAAGTTTCAAGTTTTCTGGAGAAAAATTACAATTTTTGAGCTTAAATTCGCGTTTTGAGGCAATAAAACTCCATAAAACCTTCACAATTTTCAATTATTCATCAAATATTAAATAAAATCATCAAAATTTCACATTTCCCGAGGAAAAACTTCAATTTTTATGCTAAAATTCGCATTTTAAAGCAAAAAACACCAAAAATAAACATTTTTAATAATTTAATTAATACTAAATTAAATAATTACCTCTTTTGATTTTTAATGTCACAGGATCCGTGGATAAACGTAGACATTTCAACACTAAAATCATAATTTCATTTTCATTAGAATTTTCCTCATTTTTTTTTCTTGAAACTTTTCTAATCAAAAAAATCTCGTCTACCTTCTTTGGTGCTAAATGTGTTTACGTCCGTCTCGTTGACTTTCAGTATGACATCGCCGATCTCGACCTGTAACAACACAAGCAGCGTCAATAAGGCCCATGGCGAAATAAAACGCCGGCAAACAAACAGAATTATTAGTTCAGCACATCGGCGACGTCATTATTGGATTGAGGGACGAAGAATTGCAGGCGGAAGACAAAAACATGTTCGGAATAAATAATATCGTAGCAAGCTTTTCATCTTTCACCTTTCATTTCGTAGTTTTTGTTAACATTGCAAAAACAACTTCATAGTAAAGTAATAGTGAAGCTATCTTCTAGTGAAGACATTTCACTCAGGAAAAACAAAAGGAATCTGTCGATAAGACGAGAATAAATGTGTTCATCGTGACAGGATAATGAGATTTCGAAAACCACGATTTCTAACAAAATTGATGAAAATTTCGTGTTTTCGCTTAGAAAATGTATCATGTTTTGTAAATACGTAAAATTGCACGATGTAACCAAGGAAATGATTATTGGATGGGAAGGGATATATATCGCAAGTGGAAAAACAGGACAGAAAGCGCGCGTAAACTATACGAGGAACGTAAAGCGTAAAATAGGCACAAAGCTTAAGGGAGATAAAGCACATAAAGCGCTTGCTTTACTTTCGAACTTAGCGCGGGCAGTTTTCATAATTTACCGAAAATACAACACGATAAGACGCCGCCTCTCTAAGAGGAAAATGAAGACGTAATTCACAAAGAAAATGCTACAAATTCGGGTTTATGAGCTGCGGGATTTAATTTTCAAGATTTTATCCACAATTAATTTAGGAATTTAGTCTTTTGAATGTGTTTTCGTGAACTTTGCTCGTAAAATCTCCCAAATTTCGTATTTTTAATCGGTTTCCATGTGCCACTTGACTACTTCGATAATACCGAGCTTTTGGATTTGGAGTTTGAGTTGTGACTGAAAACGCGTGTTTGTATATGTAGCACAGGGCGCCGGCACAAGCGTATTAAAAGCTTTCCTTCATTTTCATTTCATCACAATAAGTCACATACGCGATAGAATGTAAATGAGCGTAACGTTCACTTATGTGCAAATATAAAGCACATTGAAAAATGTTTTTAGTTTTAAATTTCTGTATCGATTTGAACTGAAATTTTATGAATTCTCTCCCAGGCAGATGCGAAATAGTTATGGCTCAGGAAACATGGCGTGACAATTACTCACCAAACGCTCTATAGCTCTTGGCGGCGAGTGGCGCTGGTGGCGGCGAGCAAGGGCCTTTCCTCGCGCTCGCACACGCTCATTACATTCCCTCTTCAGCGAGGCGCGGCGAGTTTCATGATTACGAAAATTGCGCACGATGTGCACATTTTATCGCATGTTTTCCACACTCACACTTCGACAATGGTTAAAAATGCAAAAAACATACGTACAAATACATACGTTAGGGTAATTTGAATTTTACATTACTAATATTCACATTAATCATTTAAAAGCTTCCTTTGCTAAGTCAGGTAACACTGAAAAAATGTTTTTTGTAGAGTTCGTTACAAAAATTGATTTTAACACCCTGTATATGAAAAAGTAACAATGTTACGTATTAAATATTAAAAGAAACCAATAGGGAATTCAATTAGCTATAAAATGAAACATTCCCGACTATTTTTGTAGTAAAATTGTAGAAATTATTAACAATTTTGTTAAATATTTCATCATCTTGCAAATTATAAAGTTGAACTTTGGAGCCATCTAGCGGCTAAAGTAATTAAGATACCTTCAAAATTTAATCATCTATCAAAGGGTAATTTAATTCTCTTTCTAAAAACGTATCAACAATTATTTTGTTTGTAAAACTTTAAGAATTATCAACAATTTAGTAAAATATTACAATTCTCATCATCCACATAAAAAAGTTGAACTTTAAAGCCCTCTAGCGGCTAAACTAATAATGATATCATTATTTTCTAAAGGAGACTCGAAGAAGAATTTAATTGGCTTTCTAAAAATGTATCAACAATTATTTTGTTCCTAAAACTTCAAGAATTATAAACAATTTTGTAAAATATTACAATTCTCATCATCCACATAATAAAGTTGACCTTTGAAGCCCTCTAGCGGCTAAATTACTAATGATATAATTAATTTTTAAAGCTGACTCTAAGAAGAATTTAATTGGCTTTCTAAAAATTATCAATAATTATTTTGTTTGTAAAACTTCAAGAATTATAAACAATTTTGTAAAATATTACAATTCTCATCATCCACATAATAAAATTTTGTTTGTAAAACTTCAAGAATTACCAACAATTTTGTAAATATTTACAATTCTCATCATACATAATAAAAATAGAACTTTGAAGCCCTCTAGCGGCTAAACTACTAATGATATCATTAATTTACAAAGGTGACTCGAAGAAGAATTTAACTATCTTTCTAAAAATGTCTTAACAATTATTTTGTTTATAAAACTACAAAAATTATAAACAATTTAAACTAAAAAATCTTTTTTTTTTCTGCAAAATAAATTCTTATCCATTTTGCAAATTTCCGAATCCTGTGGTAAAATTCTCTATAACCCAAAATAAACCACGTTCAAATCCATCCGTTGGCGGCTAGACGGATAAATTATCCCCCACACCACACCGATGCAAACAACAATGCTCGCCTTCGAGATACATCCAGAGATAAACGTAATAAATGCTTTCATTAATTTCGAGCGCGTCACTCCAAGTGCTTTGTACTATTGTGGTCAGAATTCCACAGAAACGCAAAAAAGTAATATTGACATTATTATTACTATTATTAGACATATAAATAAATATAACTTGTAAAGTTTAATAAATGCTCGTGTCTCATATTATATCCATAATTGATAATAGCCGTTTTCGTAAATTCTTGCTCTTACGTATTACACTTTAACGACCTACATAACATGGCGCGTAACGAGCGCAAAAACAAGTCTACGCATGCTCGCAGATAAAGCGACACAGGCGCGACATAGAATTGCCATGAATTGATGATGAATCAATGTTTTGCACAAGCGGCCTTCAAGTGCTGATAAACCGCAATAATAAATGGAAGCAGGCGCTGATAGCAGTAATGCACTGTTCCATATTTGGAGAATGCGGTAAATTGTAGCGTGGTGTAATTGAAATGAATGAGATTTGTCGAGTGAAAGTTGAAAGTTTCAGTCAAGTTCATTCGAAAATTGATTTTAACGCCCTGTATACGACAAAGTAACAATGTACATATTATATTATTTATGAAATCGATAGGGAATATATTATCTATAAAATGAGACATTGCCAGTATTATTATTAATAAAATTGTAGAAATTATTAATAACTTTTATTTAAATATTACATTTATTTACATTCAAATGGTAAAGTTGAACTTTGGAGCCATCAGCGACTAAACTAATGATGATATCTTACAAATTTAAACGTTTGTGGAAAAATTTAATTATCTTTCTAGAAATGTCGCATTGATTATTGTGTTAATAAAACTATAAAATTATGAACAAGTTTGTTAAATATTGTATTTAGCATCAGCCAATTATAAGTTGAACTTTGAAGCCATCTAGCAGCTAAACTACTAATGATATCTTCGGATTTTTAAACGTTTATAAAGAAAATTTAATTAGCTGTCTAAAATGCCTTAATAATTAATTTGTTGCAAATCTCCAAGAATTATAAATAATTTTGTTAAATATTCCATTATCATCACCCAAATTAAAAAGTTCAGATTTCCCTGCCCTCTAGCGGCTAAACTATGACTATTATCTTTAATTTTTAAAAGTTTATAGAAGAAGAATTTAATTACCTTCTAAAAACCTCAACAATTTGTTTATAAAACCACAATGATTACAAACAATTTAAACTCAAAACCACTATTTTCACATCCGGAATTGAATGCTCTTTTTATTCACTGATAAAAGTTTCAGTCGCGAAAGTATACCCAACTCACTGTGTGCAAATGGAAAGTTGGTGTAACCGCCAACAAAATGCGGATATTGTCTGAATTCAATTCCCCCGCGTGCACTGCGTTCACACAGTGTTTATCGGTTATCTTTATTTAGCTGCCAGAGAATCGTGTGATGTGTCTACTAACCGTAAAAACACAACAATACAAACAACACACAAAAAACCAGGAGTATCCGAATCATCACTCCACACAACATGTTGTAATATTTTCAACTATGGGCAGCGTGAAGCGGCAAATAAACGCAAATTACAAATTAAAAATTAAATGCGTGCATATTCATTTGCACGAGGAAGGCCAATTTCACGGGGAGATAAATGATGATTCTAAACACGCAAACAAACAGAAATTTGAAATAATTTTGTTCAAGTTCAATTTTGAAACCATCTAGCGGCGAATTTAATGGTGATATCTTTAGTTTTTTGTAATCTAGAAAAGAATTTAAAGTGGCTTCCTAAAATGTCTAAACAATTATTTTGTTTGAAAAACTAGGAGAATTATAAACAATTTTATAAAATATTGCAAAATGCATCATCCAAATGATAAAGTAGAACTTTGGAGCCCTTTAGCGGGTAAACTAATAATGATATCATTAAATTTCAAAAATGAATCGAAAACGAATTTAATTATCTTTCTAAAAATGCCTTAACAATTATTTTGTTATCAAAACTACGAAAATTATAAACAAATTTGTAAAATATTACAAAAATCATCATCCAAAATATAAAGTTGAACTTTGGAGCCATCTAGCGGCTAAACTAATAGCAATATCTTTAAATTTCAAACGTATAACAAAAAAGAATTTAATTATCTTTCTAAAAATGTCTTAACAATTATTTAGTTATCAAAACTACAAAAAGTATATACAATTTTGTAAAATATTACAAAAATTATCATCCAAATGATAAAGTAGAACTTTGGAGCCCTCTAGCGGCTAAGTTAATAATGATATCTTTAAATTTCAAACGTATGACAAAAAAGAATTTAATTATCTTTCTAAAAATGCCTTAACAATTATTTTGTTATCAAAATTACGAAAATTATAAACAAATTTGTAAAATACTACAAAAATCATCATCCAAAATATAA